TTTCGCGAAAATCGCACTACCAATTACAGACTTGCTAAAAACCAAAAGGGAAGTAAAGCCCAAACCCTCGAAACCACTGGAATGGACTATGGACTGTCAAGCCGCTTTCGAAAAATTGAAACGGCTGTTTGCGGCTGAACCTGTGCTCAAACACCCCGACATGGAACAACCTTTTGTAGTACAAACTGACGCCAGTGACGTAGCTGTAGGAGCAATACTCTTGCAAAAGAATGAAAACGGGATATTACAACCCTGTGCTTACACATCCCGTAAACTATCAGAGACGGAAAGGAGATGGGCCATATGGGAGAAAGAGGCGTTTGCAGTTAGATGGGCGTTGTTAACATGGAGACAATTTTTAGAAGGGGCGAAACACCCTTTCGAGGTGTGGACTGATCATAAAAATTTAGAAGCATTAAAAACACCACGCAAACTATCTCCAAAACAGGCTCGTTGGGCCCAACATTTCAAGCGTTTCAATTTCACTCTACGTTACCTTCCTGGTGGAAAAAACTTCATGGCAGACGCACTTTCCAGATTGCCGCAGTACAATAGCATCAAAAAGGAAGTGGTTCAACTAATGATCCCCTTGACACAATTGGCAACACCAGTCACTACCAGAGCGCAGAGTAAAACCGAACCAGAACTCTCGGGGGATTACTCGAAAAATTGCGAGAAGCACTAAAAACTGATGAGTGGTTTGGCAACCACTCCAATGAATGCACACTTCGTGACGGACTAGCTTGGGTTGGATCGAAATTGTATGTTCCAGCCACATTAAGGACAACCGTATTGAAATATGTTCATGATGCCAAGGCCGCAGGACACTTTGCGTTTGTCAAGACTCTACACCTTGTTAAGAGACAATTTTGGTGGCCCGCACTTAAAAAGGACATAGAGGCATATGTAGCTAGCTGTCCAATATGTGCCTCGGCTAAAAGACCTCCAGGAAAATCCCCTGGATTGCTGCAAAGTGTGGCTAGACCGAACGCCCCATGGAAGGAAATATCTATGGATTTTATTGTCGACTTACCAGACAGTGAGGGCTGCACTGTCATTTGGGTAGTAACTGATTTGTTTTCCAAACAAGTACATTTCATCCCTTGCTCAAAGATCCCTTCAGCAAAAACCCTTGCAAAACTGTTTATTCGGCAGATTTACCGACTACATGGATCTCCGAAAAGAATAATTTCTGACAGGGGGGTGCAATTTACTTCCAATTTCTGGAAAGAATTTTTGAAATTGATTGGCTCCGCCCAGGGGCTAAGTTCCAGTCACCACCCTCAGACAAATGGGGCCTGTGAAAGAACCAATGGGGTACTAGAACAGTACCTGAGATGTTACGTAAATTACCAGCAAGACAATTGGGTAGACTTGTTGCCATTTGCAGAAGTGGCATATAATAATTCCGTACACAGTAGCACTGGATTCACTCCTTTTAAGGTCGCGTCGGGCCAGGATTTCGTACCCATTCCCGAGTTACCACAGGATGATCCCCAAAATCCCTCCTTGATGGATTGGATTGAACAATTAAAGAGCACATGGGCAGTGACTCGGAAGGCTTTGGATGAGGCACACCGGGCCCATAAGGCGCAAGCTGATAAGAAAAGGTCCCCAGCTCACATTTATAAAGTGGGTGATAAAGTCTATTTGTCTACAAAATATTTACAGACCACCCAGAAGTCCAAAAAGCTAGGCCCTAAGTATGTGGGACCATTTCGTGTGATTAGATTAATTAATCCAGTAACAGTTGAATTGGAATTGCCAAAAACATTGAGACGTATACATCCTGTATTTCATGTTAGTTTATTAAAACCTGAACACTCGTCTCCCCTAAGGGCTGACCAAAGCACCCCTCCAATTCCCATTCTCATAGAGGGGGAGCAACATTTTGAAGTTAAAGAAATTTTGGACTCTAGGAAACACCATGGCAAAGTCCAATATCTGATAGCCTGGAAACATTTCCCTTTATCGCAGGCTGAATGGGTGAATAAACGGGATGTCCGAGCTCCCAAGAAGATACAGCAATTCTATACCAAATACCCTGATAAACCATAATTATTGTATATATTCTGTTTCTCTCTCTCTTCTTTCCTCTTATTTAGGAATAATGTCTCTTCTGCAAGAGGGGCCGAATGTCAGCCTCAGCTTTGCCTGCTTCAGCTGCCATAAGAAACGGGGGAGGGATTAGTAAAGGGGGGGCGAAAGGGGGGGGAAGGCGCAGGAGGTGTTTATCTATTGTAGGACGTGTCTTCCCAGGAATCGAAAGTGAATCTTCAAAAGGGGCTGGCTGACCAACTGCCCTACATTCCTGATGAATGACGTTGCCAGGCATGATGCCACCTGACCTTTGGGAGACCTTTGGATTGGCTGAGGGTCAATGGACACGGGGGGGGGGAGAAGCTTAGTAGATGCTATTTCGCGCGTTTTGCTCACTTCCAGCTTTACCTGGGTTGCTATCATTTCATATTCAGTAAAAGTACTAAATTCTTCAAAATGCTTGAGTTTGGGGTTTTCTTTCCTGGATACTGAAGGAAGCATACCTGACACCAAAACTGGAAAAACAATGACATACCATCAGAAGACAAGGTGATTAGAAAAATTATGGAGTGTGCGGAAATGGATAAGCTCACAAAGGAGATACAAGAAAAAGATGAAATAGAATATTACTTACTCTGGGAGAAATGGTATAAATGGTTGGAGGAGAAAGGGGGGAAAAAGGGGGGTGACAAAATAAAACTAAACAATGGTTAAATTAGGTGGAGGAATATGGAAACAAATGGGAAGCTATAAAAATTGTGGAAAGGAAACTAGGTACCTGTTTATATTAAATGGAAATAAAATATTTAGATTAAGAAAATATATTATAACGGTATATATGATATAGTTTAGTTTAGTTAGTTTAGTTTATTTGATTTATATACCACCCTACTCCCGAAGGACTCAGGGCGGTGAACAGCCAAACAATAAAATACATAGATACAAAAAATTTAAAAACCAAATAAAATCAAATTAAATCATTTTGGCCCAGACAGATTAAAACTATACTAGAAATATATGTATAAAAGATATATTAAGATAAGAAAGAGAAAATGTATAAATATGGATTACTGATGCGGAGATGTTGAAAAAAAGAAAATGTAAATATCTGTTTTTGGGTTTTTTTGTTTTTAAAAAACTGTTTAATAAAAATTATTGGGAAAAAAAGATTTAACTTACCCAAAACATCATAGTGTTAACGATTTCTAATTTTTTATTATAAAATATCACCATAGTCTGCTATAATCTGTATTCTACAATGCATTATTTTGCTCTTATAATTAATAAAACAATTAACTTGGGGACAAATCAGAGGTGAAATGCTCCCGGTTCGGACCGGATCGCCCAATCCGGTAGCAATGGAGGTGGGTGGTTCGGAGAACCAGTAGCAAAAATCCCTGCTCCCCCCCCAATTGCCCAGATGAGCCGTGCAATCATCAGAGGCTTTTTTTTAATTTTTAAAAGCATTTTTTCTACAACCTCTTTGGCCAAAAAAATGCTTTTAAAAGTAAAAAAAAAAAGCCTCTGATGATCGCGCAGCTCAGCTGGGATCATCAGAGGCTTTTAAAAGCACTTTTTCTACAACCTCTTCGGCCGAAGAGGTTATAGAAAAAATGTTTTTAAAAGGAAAAAAAGCCTCTGCCGATCAGGCAAGTCAGCTGGGATCGTCAGAGACTTAAAAAAAAGAAGAAGCTTCTGCTGATCAGGCAAGTCAGCTGGGATCGTCAGAGGCTTTAAAAGCATTTTTTTACAACCTCTTCAGCTGAAGAGGTTGTAGAAAAAATGGTTTTAAAAGTAAAAAAAAAAGTTGGCCATGCCCACTCTGTCATATTACCCCACCAAGCCATGCCCACAGAACTAGTAGTAACAAATCGTATCTGTGAAAAACATTCAAATAATTATTTTCAATTCTATAACCATATTATTTAGGAATCGCTGTCATTCTGTAACTAGCACAATGGATAATATATTTCAGGGAATCTGTAATTTACACCTAGCAATACTACTGTATGCAATAAGATCAGATTTGTATTGTCAATTCAGATCAATTCAGGTCAAATATCTAACTCAATCTGGAAAATCAGTTTGATGCTTTAAGTAATAAAATTACATTATTTGGAAATCCAGTTTGATTCAGGGAAAAAATATTTTTCCTGCATGCACAGATCTTCTAAATTATCAAATTGGAGTAAATCAGTGGTGAAATCTAAAATTTGTTACTACCAGTTCTGTGGGCGTGGCTTGGTGGTGGGGGTAATGTAACTGGGTAGGTGTGGCCAATTTTTTTTTCTTTTAAAACCATTTTTTCTACAACCTGTTTGGCGAAGTGGTTGTAAAAAAATGCTTTCAAAAGGCTCTGATGATCCCAGCTGAGTTGTCTGATTGGCAGAGGCTTTTTTTTCTTTTAAAAGCCTCTGCCAATCAGGCAACTCAGCTTGCTTCATCAGAGGCATTTAAAAGAAAAAAAACCTCTGCCGATCAAGCAACTCAGCTGGGATCATCAGCTGACGATCCCAGCTGAGCCACGCGATTATCAGAGGCTTTTTTTTTTTTAATTTAAAAGCATTTTTTCGGCCAAAGAGGTTGTAGAAAAAATGCTTTTAAAAATTAAAAGAAAAAGCCTCTGATGATTGTGTGGCTCAGCTGGGCGGGGGGGGCAGGGATTTTTGCTACCGGTTCTCTAAACCACCCGCCTCCATTGCTACCGGATCGGGCGATCCGGTCCAAACCGGGAGCATTTCACCCCTGGAGTAAATTCAGACTGATACAGAAACACAGTCAAATTCAAACTGAATTTCCAATTAAAACTATGCATTATTCAATGAAACAGATACTCTTATTGCCATAATCTCATTCTGTAGGGATAAGATACTATGTTTTGGAGGCAATGTGCACTTCAGCACTGAAGTGCTGAAATAAAGTGTTAATATTTTTTTAAAATAAATATTTTCCTTGAATAGGTGGCAACGTAACAACTGGGATGTTGATATTAAGCTGACAAAAGAACATTATAGTATGGTAGGAGGTAACCTGGAAATCAATAATCCTGAGAAGTCAAGGGATGAAGGAACATATGTTTGTATAGCATACAATATACATGGAACTATAAGGAGCCGGGAAGCAACTTTAAACTTTGGTTGTAAGTTGTCTTTACATGAACCTTTCCTTTATACAAACTCTTTGAAATGGTGTTCAGTAGATTGGTATGTTAGACTGTGTTATTTCTCCGTGTCAAATAATATATGGGTATATGCATACTTTTGTATTTATTTGTTTATTTTGTCATGTTTATGTAGTATGTAATGGAGGTGGTGACACTTTGAGAGCTGTATGCAACAAAATTTCATTTTAATGTATGCCAATTAGTGTACATTCAAAGTAAAGTTATTCTAAGTCTACTGACTTAATTTAGTTTGACTTATTGTCATGACCCATGCTGATTGAAACACTATGAAAGAGACACTTTTTCTAACCATAATTACTATTTTTTTTAAAAAAATTTTTTTACTGTGATTAGAGTGACAAAAGTGAGTGAATATGAATGGATCATTTTTTTCTAGATGAAAAAAAATTTGTGGACATTTATTATATCTTCTATATAAACCTATCTGCTTATATGTAATGATGAATTTTATCAGTGCTGGTTGATTACATAGCAGTTTATTAAAACAAACCTTGTGCTTCTATAAAATAGTAGATACCAAAATAATGATATTTTTGCAACATGACTTTAATAAAAAACATCTTATTTCAGTTTTTTACTAAAACTGAAAAACTTCCCAAAAAGTATTGCTTTAGGATCATTCTCAAAACTTTCTAGTGCAAAGTTACCCTGCCAATCATTGGTGGAAAACATGTCTTCATGATATATCCTTGCTTTCTTACAAATTTATTGATAAGGAGGTATGATATCAACTTTAGATATTTTAGCCTCAAGGGATGGTTTTGTTTCCATCCACAAAAGTAGATCTCTCATGAAGTCATGTTAGTTCTCCTGATGTTAGAATTCAACTTTGTCTGTCTGGATTTGAAGCTGTGAATTTGTTAACTGTGAAGAATAATGGGTCTGATTACAGATTAACAGAGTTGGAAGGGACCTTATAGGTCATCTAGTCCAACCCCCCACCCAAGCAGGAGACCCTACACCATTTCTGACAGATGCCAGTCCAGTCTCTTCTTGAAAGCTTCCAGTGATGAAGCTCCCACAACTTCCGAAGGCAAGCTGTTCCATTGGTTGATTGCTCTCACTGTCAGAAATTTTCTCCTTATTTCCAGGTTGAATCTCTCCCTGTTCAGTTTCCACCCATTATTTCTTGTCTGGCCTTCAGGTGCTTTGGAAAATAACTTGACCCCTTCCTCTCTGTGGCAGGCCTTAATATTGGAACACTGCTATCATGTCTCCCCTGGTCCTTCTCTTCACTAGCCTAGCCATGCCCAGTTCCTGTAACAGTTCTTCATATGTTTTAGTCCCCTAATCATCTCGTTTGCTCTTCTTTGCACTCTTTCTAGAGTTTCAACATCTTTTTTATAGTGTGGTGACCAAAACTGGATGCAGTACTCTAGGTGTGGTCTTAGTAAGGCCTTATAGAGTGGTATTAGTACCTCACTTGATCTTGATTGTATCCCTCTGTTAATGCAATTTAGGATTGCATTGGCTTTTTTGGCTGCCACCTCACACTGTTAGCTCATATTTTATTGGTTGTCCACTAAGACTTCAAGATCCCTCTCATAGTTACTGCTTTAAGCCTGGGTTCACCCAGTCTATATATGTACTTTTGATTTTTCTTGCCTAAGTGTAAGACTTTACTTTTCTCTACATTGAATTTCATTTTGTTAGTTAGGGTCCAGTGTTCAGGTCTGTCAAGATCCATCTGGATCTTGAGGCTATCATCTAGGGTGGCTATTCCTTGGCTATTCCTGTCAGCTTAGTATCATCTGCAAATTTAGTAAATTCCCCTTCTATTCCCTCATTTAAGTCCTTTATGAAGATATTGAAAAGTACTGGACCTAAGACAGAACCTTGTAGTACCCACTGCTTTCTTCCCTCTGTGTAGATGTAGTACCATTCAGGACTACTCGTTGAGTACGGTTTGTCAGCCAGTTAGAAATCCATCTGATGGTGATGCTATCTATGTCTACTTTGTTGAAGTCTAAATATACTATGCCCATAGCATTTCGCTGGTCTACTAATTTAGTCACTACGTTGAAGAATGAAATAAGATTGGTTTGGCATGATCTGTTTTTAACAAACCTGTGCTGGCTTCTAGTTATTACTTTATTCATTTCTAGATGCTGGCAGATCTGTTTTTTGATTATTTTTTCCAGTATTTTTATATGTTTCTATATAGCATTCCTCCTACTGAAATAACAGGTGTGTAAATTCTTTATTTATTGCAGCACTATTGAATTATGTAATTCCCAGCATTTGTGGAAAGTGGCTTTTTTAAAAGCAGTCTCCCAGCTACCAACTATTTCTTTGCCTTATTGAGTGAAGGCAGCAATATTGCTGGTCTTGTTACTGAGACAAAGCAAAAAAAGTGTGTGTGTGTGTGTGTATGACTTTTTTTAGTGACATACTTTCCTACAGCCCAAGGAGAAGAGGAAAGCATATTATCAGTGCTGTGTAACTGAGGCCTTAATTTCTGTTTCAGTGCTACCAAGCTGTGAATTAAAATTAGAATTAGAATTCTTTATTGGCCAAATGTGATTAGGCATATGGAATTTGTCTCCGGTGCATAAGCTCTCAGTATACATACAACAATAGTATTCGATCATTAGTCATTGTAAAAATACATTCATCATAAAACATTAGATACAACATTTAGTGATAATCATTCATAGCCAGTTTGCATTTAAAAGAGCTAAATTCAACATAAATGAGATTTAGAAATAACAAGAACAAACAAAATAAGGGGAGCTATTATTACCCTAATAAACATTTTACTAAAATAATTATCCTTTTCTACATGCCTATGGACCTCAGATAAACCAATAACAGAAAAATACCATTGTAAACTTACAACAGAATTTTTTACTTGGTAAGATACTTATAGTATTGCAATGGCATGCCAAGCCCTATCAAACATAAATTAATGAGCTAATGTATAGATATGTTTATTCACACAAATCTCCCTGTTACATGGGTAAAAGAGGTGAACCTAATTTAAATATACTATTATGACTGTTTTTTTCTCCATAGACCCATTGCAGTTCCCTGCCTGCAATAGTTCTGTAGTTTTGTAATATTAAGTAGCATAATAGAAATTCATTTATGAAAAATGATTATTTGCTTGTTCAGCAATCACTGAATTGATAGGCTATTTCCTTTTCTTTCTTATTTATTTATTTATTTATTTATTTTTCAAATTTCTATACCGCCCTTCTCCTTTCGGACTCAGGGTGGTGAACAGCCAAGATAAAAAACATTTATACACAAAAGTTAAAAATAGATTTAAAATAATTAAATAAATTTGGCCCGTAATTTAAAACTTTTCTTGTTTTGACTACATATTATTACTCATTTTGAAGACATTAACAGTGTTCATGCACTGTAGCCCTTCATGCACTTCTTAAAAAAAAAGAATTGAATAGAAAATATTTATATTGAAAGGTTATCATTTTCCCTATAGCATAAATGCAACGTTTTGTTTATGGTGAATGATTGCAAATATATGTGTAATCCTTAGGGCTACTATTAATATTAAAATCATAGTTACTTAAGTTAAATCACTTTCATATAATTAAAATGAATTAAAATATTTCAAATTTAATTCTGTATACATTAATGCATACAGGAGCCTGGTTTAGCTCAACAGACAGAAGCACTGTAATTTAACACCAGCTGTCTGCAATTAAAGTAAGATCGAATCTTGCCAGGCTCAAGGTTGACTCAGCCTTCCATCCTTTCTAAGGTAGGTAAAATGAGGACCCAGTTTGTGGGGGCAATAAGCTGACTTTGTATAAAATATACAAAAGTATGAAGGCTATTGCTTAACGCACTGTAAGCCGCCCTGAGTCTCCGGAGAAGGGCGGCATATAAATCAAATAAAAATAAAAAAATAAAAATAAAATATATGACCCACTTCAGGTTTTTGCAACCTATGTTTTTTTGCAAAAGCAATCCCACTTTAATCTCATTCCTGGAAACCGAAGAAAAAGCCAAGAAATATAGTTGCAATTTTTTCTTTTATAACATTTTTTCTGTTTGTTTGTTTAGTTCAGTGAATAGAGATAAAAAGACAAGAACTTTCAAAGACTGATGTCATTCTTATCAATTAATAAAATGGAAGACACTTTCAAAGAAGGCTTGATTCCTCATGACTGCATGGGTAGTCAATTCTCTGAGAAGCATGTGTGAGTGGCTTGCTGTAGTGGCTTTTAGTCTGTAGCCCTGATTAACTTGCAAATGTCAAGTAAACCCAAATTTCTTCTAAACAATACCTTAGCAAACTTTAAAGTCTAGCAATGATGGCTAAATAGAGTAAAGTATGAAATAATTGATGGATATATGTTAAAATAGTTTGGTGTTTAGTACAATCTCACAGACTATCTTCATCCATCTTTTAATTTCTCGGCTTTCATGAACTGTTCCTTTCCAGATAAGCCAATAAAATTCTTTTGGAATCTTAAATTAATCTTATTTTCTGCCCACCTTTTATTGAATCTTAAATTTAAGATTATAATGTTATGGATGATTTGCTTTTCAACCCATACACAAACCAAGACTAGACTATTGAATTGTCAGCCTTGCAATTTTATCCATGTTCCAATATTGTATCTTGAAATTGGCTTTTTATTTGCTCAGTAACATAAGCGCTGATCCTTGTAAAACAATTTCCTGAATAGATATCTTGAATGTTTTTATAGCCCTACATATCACTGAGACAGTAATCTCTATGTTTGTGAAATGTTTGTTTCCATTATTAGCAAGAATTCTCCAGTTTGACCTCAAAAAAATAAACATGAGGTTACAAACACTCCTGAGAGTATAAAGGCATCAACTTCTATTATGATACACATAGATATTGGGAGATGTTATTTTTTGTAGATAAATTGGATAACAGTTAATATGAGAGACATTCTTCTTAACATTGCTATTTAATAATATCTTTTTATTTTACATCTATATCTATATCTCTATATCTATCTATCTATCTATCTATCTATCTATCTATCTATCTATTATCATGCATAGATTTATATCCTTTTCCTCCGGAAGAGAGACATGCAGTAAAAGTACGAGAAGGTGTAGGTGCTGTTCTTCTCTGTGATCCTCCACCTCATTATCCAGGTAATTAAATTTATATATTTCAGTTTCAATTGGAACAATGACATAAAAATTAATACAATTAGAATAGTATTAATGTTGACTGTAACTAAGTTACCTAAGCCTCTAGAGCCTTATAAAAAAAAGAATTGTTCCTGTTTGACATGTGAAAATAAAATTCCTTACAGTATGATTGTCTTCCTTCAGATTATAAAGTAATTGAATCTGTTTACTATTATAAGATTTGATTGTTCAAAGTTGAAAACAGCTGAAAACTTTCAGAGAAATACTGTATGTATTTTACAAATGGAAACCAGCTTTTTCAGGTATATATTTAATGTATTCTGTAGAGGTAATCCCCGGGTTATGAGGGTTCCCTTAGCAAATGTTTGAAATTGCATGATTAGTGCCCCCTAGTGTTTATGAACAAGTCCTGAAATTATGAATATTGCAGCACCATGGCAGTTGTTCATTCTTACGAACGACCACAGAGGCTCTGCAACATTTATTCCGCCTATTTCCCCCCCTCCCAGCTGGGTCTTCAAGATCTCCTCTCTGTCGTGCTTTCTTTGACTGCTTTATTACTTCAGGCTTTCAGTGCATTAAGCAGAGAACAGAGGCCTAACATGCTGCAAGATCAGTAGTGCGAGATCTTGTGCTACTGATCTCGTGTGATCTTGGACTTTAGGCCTCTATTCTCTGTGAATTGAGGCCTGGAGATTGCAAATGGATGGAAGGCTTTCCTTCAGGCTTTCCCTCTGTTTGCCATTTCCTTGCCGAAGCCTGCAGGGAGATTGCATTCCTGTAGGCTTTGGCAGCTCTTTGCAAAAAGCTTTTGGTGGCATCAGCAGAGCTTGGGAGGAGTGGGTGTGTCCCTCTGAAGCTTTGTTCCTATAGGCAAAGCCTTTTTGAAAAGGACTGGTGAAGCCTAAAGGGACGCAATCCTCAAGTGCTTTGGTGATGAGAAAGGAGGCACAGAGGAACGTGCATAGTCTTTTGGGCCTCCTTTCTCGCCAGCAATCCACTTAACAAGGCCTCTGGTGATGAAAAAAGAGTCCAGGAAGGAGGCCTGGCCTCCTTTTTCATCACTGGAGACCTTGTCAAGCCCTTTGGTGATGAAGAAGGCAAAGAAACAGACTGGAGAGGAGACAAATCTTCATAAAGTAAGACACCCAGCATGGCAGAATAGGGGAAAGCAATTGTGGGGACCCAGGGGGAAGGAGAATGAGGTATCTGTGGGTTAGGGGAGGCCTTGGAGTAGGTGGCCTGTTCTATCACTAGGCCCCCCCATGGCCTTTCCCACCCTGAGATATCTCATGTGCACTTAACGAGCTGCACATTCAATTATCAAATATGTGGGCAAAAGGAGGAAGTGATCACATTCAAGGTATGAGATTCATTCCCACAAATCCTTGGGTTACGAATGGAATGGGCAGGCTCCATTAAATTCGTAACTCGAGGACTACCTGTACTCTTCTCTAGCCTAAGCCTACAGTATGCATAAATAGAGGTCACACATGTTAAACTTGACAATTTAAGAAATGTGGACTTCAATGCCCACTTACTGTCATATATAGCATGGAGTGATAAGTAAATGAAGAAAAGTTGTTCCAAAGTTCTAACAGCTGCCCCCCTTGCAGTCATGTGATCTCATTTTGGGCATTCAGTAACCAGTCCGCATTTATAGCTTTTTGCAATGTTCCATGGTCATGTAACTGCTTTTTACAACATTGATGCTGATAACTGGCATTTACTTCTGGGTTTTGTTTCGTTTTTTGGTTTTTTTGCAAAAATGGCCCACTGCAAACAATGACTTCACTTAACAACCACAGTATTTGCATAATGTAATAATGGTAGTAAAATTTGGTTGGTTGTGTTAGTGGTCTGCTTTATGACCATCACAATTTGTGGGCCGGCTCCATTACAGTTGTAAATTGAGTACTATCTGTATAGCCAAGAGCACTGATATTACTGGTAATCCCTGATCCAAGACTAACCAGTGCTTATCTTGTTTAGCTTCCAACAAAATTAGCTAGATGTTACCATATCCTCTAAACAATAGCTTCATCTCTATTAATAAATTTTAAATACATTTTTCTATCTCCAGATGATCTAAGTTATCGCTGGTTTCTGAATGATTTCCCAGAATTCATTACTTTGGATAAACGGCGATATGTGTCACAAACAAATGGTAATCTTTACATAGCCAAAGTTGAACCTACTGATAAAGGCAACTATTCATGCTGTGTGACTAGTAATTCAATTACTAAGAGTGTATTCAGCAGTTTCATTTCACTCATTCCTCAAGCAGATCGTAAGTATTCCTCAAAAGTCTTATGTATGTCAGATGTTCTTCTTAAATAATGTCTCCTTTCCTTTTGTTCACTTTATCCAGTTCAGTGAAACAGTATATGAAAGAAATGTTTGGCTTAGATTCTCTTTTCAGCTTGTTTTTTATTTCTAAATTTTAGATTTTACATCTTATCTCATGAATCCAACTGTTTTGTTTTTATTATCCAAAATATACTCACTCATTCAGCCTCTTTTTCTGTGTGTGTGAGAGAGACACATACAAAGAAAGAGAAACAGAGAGAGAACACAACAGTTATAAATAATCAGGGAGCCAAGTTTGACTATGGCTTACTTTCAAATTTAACTCACTTGCTTGACTGAATAATGTGTGTCTCAAAAATGTATGATATAAAATGTGTAAGCTATAAAAAATAGAAATATAAAAGGATACAAAACAGACATTGCTTTTCCCATGTTTGGAAAATCAAATATGAGTATATTTACATTTTTGAGATGTGACATGTGACAGGAAACAATATTAACTTTCTCAAAACAATTTTTGGTTAACTGGTAAGAAATAGATTATGTAAATGAAATATTGGGATTTGATCTATTTTAAAGATTTTCATATTCTGTTCTGGTTAAATATTTCAACTTTTACTTTATGTGAATTTATACAAGTTATCAAAAAAGCAGTTAGAATTTCTGTAATCACTTAGCCTCCAGTGTTGTCCAGATTTTTATGGCCTAGGTGACGTAGTGATATTTCATGACAAGTTAAATCTATTCTTAATTGATAGTAGAATAAATGTGTGTGATCCTTTCTTCCTGCTTCCTACAACTGTTTTATTTTAGAAATTCATCTCTACTCACAGTCTCTCTAAGTTTTTTTTAAGGAAATAAACTTTTCAAATATTATATGTGCTAAGTATCCATTTTTTAGAAAACTATTTATTTTATTGTTTTTTCTTATTAGGGTCAAAAGGCTATGTGCCAGATATCAGAGTGAAGTTCAAAGATACATATGCACTTTTAGGACAAAATGTGACACTAGAATGCTTTGCGCTTGGAAAGTACGTATGCTTGAATTTAGTGATATACATGGCAAAATGTGATCTATTTTGGCCAGGGATGGGTAGCTTTCTTCTGCGATCAGAAGCAATCCCAAAACATGAATTTGAAAGTGTTCTCAGTGCCTCCTATCACTCATACTTTGCACTCCTATCACTCATTCTTTGCACTATATACAAATGCACAAAGTCTGGGGAACAGATAGACAGATAGACAGATTAACAGAGTTGGAAGGGACCTTGTAGGTCATCTGGCCCAACCCCCCAACCCCCAAATCCCACCCAAGCAAGAGACCCTACATCATTTCTGACAAATGGCAATCCAATCTTTTCTTGAAAGTCTCAAGTGATGAAGCTCCCACAACTTCCGAAGGCAAGTTACCATTGGTTGATTGTTCTCACTGTCAGAAAGTTCCTCCTTATTTCTAGGTTGAATCTCTCCTTGGTCAGTTTCCATCCATTATTCCTTGTCTGGCCCTCAGGTGCTTTGGAAAATAGCTTGACCCCCTCCTCTCTGTGGCAGCTCCTCAAATATTGGAACACTGCTATCATGTCTCCCCGGTCCTTCTCTTTACTAGACTAGCCATGCCCAGTTCCTGTAACTGTTCTTCATATGTTTTAGTCTCCAGTCCCCTAAACATCCTGGTTGCTCTTCTCTGCACTCTTTCTAGAGTCTCAGCATCTTTTTTATAGTGTGGTGACCAAAACTGGATACAGTACTCTAGGTGTGATCTTACTAAGGCTTTATAGAGTGCTATTAGTATCTCCCTTGATCTTGATTGTATCCCTCTGTTAATGCAATTTAGGATTGCATTGGCTTTTTTGCCTGCCGCTGCACACTTCTGGCTCATACTTAGCTGGTTGTCCACTAGGACCCCAAGATCCCTGTCACAGTTACTGCTATTAAGCCTAGTTTCACCCAGTCTATATATGTACTTTTGGTTTTTCTTGCCTAAGTGTAGGACTTTGCTTTTCTCTACATTGAATTTCATTTTGTTAGATAGGGACCAGTGTTCAAGTCTTCAAGATCCATCTAGATCTTGAGTCTATCTTCTAGGGCAGTGGTTCTCAACCTTCCTAATGTCGCGGCCCTTTAATGCAGTTCCTCATGTTGTGGTGACCCCCAACCAGGGGTGGGTTCTAATTTTTTTTACTACCGGTTCTGTGGGCATGGATTTTGTGGGCGTGGTTTGGCGGTCATGTGACTGGGTGGGCGTGTCTAGCTGGTCATGTGACCAGGTGGCCATGGCTATGTGTATAGGGACTACTCAGAGGGCTGAAAAAAGTCATTTCTGACAGATCCTCGCACTTTTGACTGGTCCTCACACTTATGCCCATCCTCACATTTATGCCCGTGCAGCATTCTTAACAACCATGTCACTCATTTCACAGCTGCTTCTTTTCACCATGGTGATAAGATAGGGCAAAAAACGTAAAATGTGAGGATAGTCATAAATTCGAGATCTGGTCAAAAGTGCGAGGACCAGTCAAAAATAACTTTTTCAGCCCTCTGAGTAGTCCATGTGCACAAAAGAACTACCCAGAGGGCTGAAAAAAGTGATTTCTGACAGGTCCTCGCACTTTTGACCGATCTTCGCACTTATGACTGGTCATCATTTATGCCCATTGTAGCATTCTTTTTTTTTTTTGAAATTTTTTTTTATTTTTAAACAAAACTTAAAACATAAAACAATTGTCATCCATTACAATTACAGAAAGTGTATTGATCGGTTACGAATCTTTTGTGCTTAATCCTCTAACCCACATTTTCTTATTTAACAGTTTATTACATTATTATTCTCCTTTACCAATTATTTAACAGTAAATTATCCTCTATAAGGGGGGAAAAAAAACCCTTTATATATTTTATTATCTTATCCATTTCATTTCATATTTCATTTCCATTCTTTCTTGTCTAACCATTGATAAAATAAATCCCATATCAAATAACATTGTTTATCTTCTTGTTCCCTAATTTCAAATGTCAATTTACTCATTTCAGCACACTCCAAAATTTTCTTGATAACGTCGTCATCCGTGGGTATCTTCTCACCTTTCCAGTTTCTAGCAAATACAATTCTAACTGCCGTTAAAACATTCACAATTAAATATCTCATTTCTCTATTATATATTTCTGGTAAAATCCTCAATAAAAATATCTCTGGTTTAAAGTCAATATGTTTCTTTGTCATTTTTTCCAACCACCTGTGGATTTTAGTCCAATATCTTTTAGCTTTTGCACATGTCCACCACATATGGTAATATGAGCCCGGGGACTGATGACACTTCCAACATTTCTCCGATTTGTTCTTGTACATTCTGGCTATTCTCGCCGGGGGTAGATGCCACCTGTAAAACATCTTATACAAGTTTTCCTTATATGCTGTTGATATTGTCATTTTATAATTCTGTGACCATAATTTTTCCCATTTCTCTAAGTCAATCCCATGACCCACATTTTTCCCCCATGCAATCATTGTTTCTTTAACTTGTTCTTCTGCCAGTTTTACTTCTAATAAATGGCTATACAATTTTTTAATCACATGGTCATCAGAACCTATTAAAATTTTATCTAAGTTTATCAAGGTGCTATAAAAACCCTCCTTTTTAGAATCTTCATCATATCTAGACTGTATTTGCATATATGAAAACCAATCCATTTCAAGCTCTTGTTCTTCTAATTCTTGCTTCGATTTAAGTTCACCCTTTTCATTTAATAATTCACCATATCTAACAATTTGTTCCTTCCTAAACGTTACTGCGTGTGAGACTGCTTCAATAAGTGATAGCCAGACTGGAATTTTTAAGTAGTAACATTGTTTGATCTTCTCCCAGTTTAATAACAAAGACTCTCGTATCATATGTCTTCTAAAATAACCCTGTATTTTTGTACTTTTATACCACATAAAAGCATGCCAACCCAACAATAAGTCATGTCCTTTTAAGGTCAACAATCTAATATTCCTTAGTGTTATCCATTCTTTAATCCACATCAAGTTACAAGCTTGATAATACAATTCCCAATCCGGCAAACCAAAACCTCCTCTTAATCTAACATCTTGCATCAATTTTAATTTTATCCTTGCCTTTTTGCCCTGCCATATATATTTTAACACCATTTTATTTAAATCTTCAAAATATTTTTTCCCCAACTTGGAATTGTCTGAAACAAGTATAGAAGTCTGGGCAGTATATTCATTTTAATAGTTGATATTCTCCCTATCAATGATAACTGCAAATTCTCCCATTTTGTTAGGTCTGTCGCTATCTGTAGCATTCTTAACAACCGTGTCACTCATTTCACAACTGCTTCTCTTCACCATGGTGACAAGATAGGGCAAAAACGTAAAATGTGAGGACAGTCGTAAGTTCGAGGACTGGTCAAAAGTGCGAGGACCAGTCAGAAATAACTTTTTCAGCCCTCTGAGTAGTCCATATGCATAAAAGGATACAGCAATAGAGAGGGATGAAGGAAGGGAAGGGAAATTAGAGTAGGAGGGAGGGTAAGAGAGGGAGGAAGAGAGGAGAAGGAGAAAGGAAGAGGAAGTAGGGAGGAGAAGAAGAGGGGGAGGAAGAGAAAATAAGAAGGAAAGGAAAGAGAGAGGTGGTAGGTTTGAGGAGAAAGATTGCTGTACAATAAAAAAGGTGAAAGGGAAGAAAGCCAACCCCAAACAAATATAAAGATATTAAGATAAAGAATGAATTGTTAAACTTTAAAGAATAAAAGAGAACAAATATGAATAAATAACAATAATTAGAAACACACATACAAACATACAATGTATTTTCTTTGAACAGAGTATTTGGCCGGTTCATAAAATTAAACAGTGTTTAGTCATTTCAATTAAATTTACAATTTCTATATTTCCTTTTTGCCATATTTATTCCTCATCTATTTTTGTAAAAAACCAATATTACCCTTCATCCTCATCTCTAATCTTAATCAAATTCAATTTTTCCCTTCTATTCTATATTATACCCCTTCCCATTGTCATCTATTTTTATATCCATCCTCACATTGGTTAATTATGTGATATTACAGTTGTTTAATATAAATTAAACATTTTAATATAAATCAATTAGTTATATAACTACCTTTTTTGTATATTAATCAATATGAACATGAATATTCCAATTATTTCCATGCCATCCAATTTCTTACAAATCAATTAATTATATTTAGCAATAATAAAAAACCAAATAATTTCCCCCATATATTCCTCCAAACCACAATTTAACCATTTCTGCTTTCAACACAATATACAATTAATAGTATCTCAATTATTACAATTCCCTAGTTAAATAGAGCTTTTTTTCTTTTGTGTTTTAAAATCTTGAACTCTCCTCTTTTTCCCTAAATTTCCCATTGTTTGCACCTACCTTTTTTGGTGAGGAAAAAGAAAAGAAATCTGCCTGCCTAATTTTCCAACGTTGCAGCAACAGCAAAGCCAACAGCCTGCTTTACTTTCAGTTTTGTTTTTCAGCATAGCTAGGGGGGAAAAAATCTCCAGCAAGCAGCAGAGCCCTGAGCAAAACAGCTGAGAGCAAATCAACTGAGAGTCGGGAGCCGATCTAATCAAGGGCTAATTAGCCTATGCTGAAGCTCCGCGGGCCAATAAAATTACAAAAAAACACTGAATCATTTGTTAAATTGCTGGCTCGCCCACCCCTCGCCCACCACTATTTATTGGCAATAAATAGTGGTGCGGAGGGGCGGGGCAAGCCAGCAATTTAACAAACGTAGAATCCCACCACTGGCTCTAGGGCAGCCTTTGAAGCCCCACGGCAAGAATTTAAACAGTTTTTTTTCCTCTAGCCATCAGCTGGGACTCAGGAGGCAGCAATAGATTGGGAGTGGGCGGGGTAAGCGAACGGCCGGCGATCCAACAGAGCAGAGAGTGACGGTGAGTGAAGGCGTGGGGGGGGTGAGAGAGGGCTTTGGCGACCCCTGTGAAATGGCCATTCGACCCCCAAAGGGGTCGCGACCCCCAGGTTGAGAACCGCTGTTCTAGGGTGTTAGCTACTAACACCCTACTAGGAAACAAACAGGGTGAACTACTAATACAAGAAGGTGGATATAATATAGTTGGAATAACAGAAACTTGATGGGATGAACCCCATGACTGGAACGTACTGATAGAAGGATACAAACTGTTCAAAAAATCCAGATCCCATAAAAAGGGAGGTGGAGTTGCACTGTGTGTCACTGCTAAATTTTGGAGGTAGTTCATTAAGTTGATAGGGTCATGTCAAGGTCTTCACACAAAAAGAAACTTTAGCCCAACCTACCAAAAACATAACTGTAAAAAACAGATTAGAAATAAAAGTTAAAATAAACAAAAAATTAGTAAGAGAACACCTGTCTGATCTTGATAAATACAAATCAATGGGACCTGACGGATTACATCCCAGAGTTCTAAAGGAGCTGGCAGATCTCATCTCAGAACCACTGTACCACATATTTCAAAAATCCTGGAGCACTGGGGAACTATTAGGGGACTGGAAAAGAGCTGATGTAGTTCCCATCTTCAAAAAATGGGAAAAAAACAGATCCAGGAAACTACAGACCAATCAGCCTAACATCAATATCAAGGAAGATACTGGAAAAGATAATAAACATCTAGAAATGAGTAAAGTAATAACTACCAGTCAGCACAGGTTTGTTAAAAACAGATCATGCCAAACCAATCTTATTTCATTCTTCAACACAGTGACTAAATTAGTAGACCAGTGAAGTACTGTGGATATATTTAGACTTCAGCAAGCATTCAATAAAGTAGACCACAACCTACTTCTTAGTAAGCTAGAAAAAAGTTGGATAGATAGCATCACCATCAGATGGATTTGTAACTAGATGACAAACCGTACTCAATGAGTAGTCCTTAATAGGTCTACGTCTACATGGAGGAAAGTAAACAGACTTGTACCACAAGGTTCCATCTTAGGCCCAGTACTCTTCAATATCTTCATAAAGGATTTAGATTCAGGAATAGAATTTACCAAATTTGCAGATGATACTAAACTGGCAGGAATAGCTAACACCCTGGAAGATAGGCTCAAGATCTAGATGGATCTTCACAGACCTGAACACTGGTCCCTATCTAAAAAAATGAAATTCAATGTAGAGAAAGGTAAAGTCCTACACCTAGGCAAGAAAAACCAAAAGTACATATATCGACTAGGTGAAACCAGGCTTAATAGCAGTAACTGTGAGGGTGATCTTGGAGTCTTAGTGGAAAACCAGCTAAGTATGAGCCAGCAGTGTGCAGCGGCAGCCAAAAAAGCCAATGCAATCCTAAATTGCATTAACAGAGGGATACAATCAAGATCAAGTGAGGTACTAATACCACTCTATAAAGCCCTAGTAAGACCACACCTAGAATACTGCATCCAGTTTTGGTCACCATACTATAAAAAGATGTTGAGACTTTAGAAAAAGTGCAGAGGAGAGCAACCATGATGATTAGAGGACTGGAGAGTAAAACATACGAAGAACGGTTACAGGAACTGGGCATGGCTAGTCTAGTGAAGAAAAGGACCAAGGAGACATGATAGCAGTCTTCCAGTACTTGAGGAGCTGCCACAAAGAGGAAGGGGACAATCTGTTTTCTAAAGCACCTGAGGGCTAGACAAGGAATAATGGATGGAAATTGATCAAGGAGAGATTCAATCTAGAAATGAGGATGAACATTCTGACAGTGAGAACAATCAACCAATGGAACAGATTGCCTTCAGAAGTTGTGGGAGCTTCATTACTGGAAGCTTTGAAGAAGAGATTGGACTGCCATTTGTCAGAAATGGTGTAGGGTCTCCTGCTTGGGTGGGGGGTTGGATTAGATGACCTACAAGGTCCCTTCCAATTCTGTTAATCTGTAAACACAAGTAAACTTTATATATAAATTTAACATGTTTCTCCTTTATGCATATGGCTCCAAATGTGGTATGGCTTAGCATTACAGCTACAAAAAAGCATTGAAGGTGACAATGAAATTGCCCTTAATGAAACTAGCCAAACATTCTCCAGTTTATTTTCCAGTTATTATGAATTCAATTTATTTTATGATTCAGGTCCTTGTAGAAGGATATCATTAAAACAATGTTGTATAACCTGTTTACTTGACAAAAAAAGATTGTTTTAATATATTATTGGCATTAGAGGTATGTAGAGGTAATGCAGAAATATTCATTCTGTTTTAGACAAGTGAAGGAAGCAGATTGAGAAGGGGAAGGGTCATGTCAGTGGGCAGTTAAACAACAGCTAAGTGAAATTTCTGCTTAAGAAACACTCTTTTGTAATTGTGAAACATGAAGAGGAAAGTTGATGCTGAAGTTACTTAATAAATGAAAGATCCAACAGCTAATCAAAGCTGAATTAAAATGTGTCCTATTTTCTTTAAGCCCTGTTCCTGAACTCAGATGGAGTAAATATCTTGAACCAATGCCAAGCAGTGCAGATATAAGCTTGTCTGGTGCAGTTCTAAAGATCTTCAATATTCAGTTTGAAGATGAAGGAATATATGAATGTGAAGCTGAAAATTACAGAGGAAAGGATAAACATTCAGCAAAAGTGTATGTTCAAGGTAAGTAGAATTTCTTCATGCATTTCATCACTGAAAAATACATTTATACATATTTATCCCATATCATTTTAGAAGGTTGGTTTTTCAAAATTTCATAAATTAATGCAACATTTTGCACTGTGACACAATTCAGAATAATTCAATTAACTAAAGGTTGGTTGAGTAATAAGCTGAGCCAGCAAACATTATTCCAATTTTTAATTAGCAGCATGTGACTTAAGCATTAATTTGGCTTTACTTCTAATTTCAAGCATAGAAAATTAATTCTTTTGGTATGTAATTTTTTATTTTTATATATATCTATATGACCCAAATAACCAAAGACCAACTATATGTGTATATATATATAGTTATTGAATACATGAACAGTGTGGCATCTGGGTATCATTAATTTTGAAACCAGATAATAGTGATAATCTTGATAAACTTAATTACATTAATCATACACACATCATTATAATAACATTATAAATATTACAATTAAAGTTGTTAACATTTTAGTATTTGCTCCACCATGTATATAATCCTTCATCATTTGATTATTAAAGTATTTTAATACACAATGCTAATAACCATAATATTGTTGTTTAAGTGTACATAATACAACCATCTTTCAACTTCTGATCCTTTCATCTGCATACTAATTTTAAAATATTATATAGAAATATGCATAATAATATTTTCCCCTATCTAGTTTCTACCTCCATTCTGTTTCTTAATAGAACAAATCTTATATTTGTAGATATTCTATTTCTATTTTTTAAGAAGTTTTTTATTTTAAACACATTAAAAACACATTAAAAATCAAACATGTACATACAACAAAAAATAAGACAAAAAAGAAAAATATCACTTTTCTTTTCAGCTATACACAGCGGTCTGCTCTTTCTATACATCAATATTTACAAATATTTAAGTATAAACTTATTTGACGTTCATTTTCTACTTTATATCATTTCTTCTTTACTAACAAAAGATCATACACATTTTCCCCCTCCTTTCTTCATTCATTTAACTTATTTCCTTATGTTTCAACCATTCATACCATCTACTCCAAACCTTATAATACTTTGATTCTTCTTTCCCCTTAATTTCTTTAGTTAATTTATCTAATTCTGCACATTCTAGAATTTTTTTAATTAAATCCTCTTCCATTGGTAGTGTTTCCTTCTTCCAATATTGTGCATATACAATACGTGCTGCAGTCAATATATGCAATATAAGGTACTGTATTTCTTTAGTATAATTGTCCATTGAGATTCCTAACAGAAATTGTTCCGGTTTTCCCTCTATTGGATTCTGAATTATTTCTACTATCCAAGTTTTGATTTTCTTCCAGAATTTTTGTGCCATCGTGCAGGTCCACCATTGATGATAGTATGTTCCGTAGCCAGTCTTGCACTTCCAACATTTCAGGGAGTTGGTAGGGAACATTTTCGCAATTCTGGCCTGTGGGAGGTGCCATCTATAAAACATTTTCATCTGGTTTTCCTTGTATGCCGTCGCAATTGTTAGTTTCATGTTCGTTTTCCACATCCTCTCCCACTACTCTAGTTCTATCACATGGTATCAATAGGTATTCTATTTCTATCTATCATCTCTTGCCCATTTTAGTATTTCAATTCTTGTTTATTTTTTGGCATGTTTTCTATACTCCTCCCTTAGGATTTTGTATCTCTATACATCATTCTTCTTTGATCTAAATGTTTCCTCTTTCTCTACATTTACCTCTCACTGCCAAACCTTCACTACACATTTCAGTGTCTCTAGCCTCAGTTCAGGAATGTCTTTCTGTTTATCCAGTTCTATTTTTTAATTTCTTAATGTATAATCTGCCTGTTCTATTTCATCTGTTTTAATTATCTCTTTCTTCTCTTATCTTTTGGATTAATTTGTTATTTTATCTGCTCTATCTTTTCCTCTGTTTTTTCTATTTTCTCCTCTATTTCCTGGGTTTCCTGTTCATTTTTCATTGTCATTTGATGAACATTTTCTGGTCTGACAACTATATCATGTATCAAGTCCTTTATCTCCCTGTGGTTCTTTGCTATAGTTTCATGAATACTTTGAAACATCAATAATATTTCTTTTTGAAATTCACTTATTTTCCCTGTTGAAGCATTTTGTCTTATTTTGATGAGTCAAAAGGTTACTCAGTAAGCTACCAAGGTCTCAAATTCTCGGTTGTCTATAACATCAAAAGCCAATATTAAAACAATTTACTCAGTCCCAAAATTATTCCTCAGGATGAACAATATTTATAGTTCTTTATAGTCCTCAACCTGTCATTTTACTCCTTCCAAGTTGTTGTTGTTGTTGTTGTTGTTGTTGTTGTTGTTGTTGTTATTATTATTATTATTATTATTATTATTATTTAAATTTTTATACCGCCCTTCTCCTGAAGGACTCAGGGCAGTGTACAGCCATATTAAAACAACATATACCCACAAAACTTAAAAACAGTTTAAAATACATTAAAAATTTGGCCCTTATATTAAAAACTACAAACACCCAATTAAAATTCATTTTTCTAAGCCAGCCCGGCCTGTTGGAACAAAAGAGTCTTAAGGGCACGGCGAAAGGTACGTAAGTCGGGGATCATGTGAAACTCCGGGGGCAGTTCATTCCAGAGGCAGGTGCCCCCACAGAGAAGGATCTTCCCCTGGGTGTCGCCAGTAGGCATTGTTTGGCCGACGGCACCCTGAGGAGCCCCTCTCTGTGGGAGCGTATTAGCCGGTGGGAGGCTATCGGTGGCAGAAGGCGATCTTGTATATACCCAGGTCCTAAGCCATGGAGTGCTTTAAAGGTGGTAACCAACACCTTGAATCGCACCCGTAAGACCACTGGGAGCCAGTGCAGCTCATGCAGGAGAGGTGTTACGTGGGTGCGACGAGTCGCCCCCATAATCACCCGCGCGGCCGCATTCTGGACCAGTTGGAGCCTCCGAGTGCTCTTCAAGGGGAGCCCCATGTAGAGAGTGTTACAGTAGTCCAGACGGGACGTGACAAGGGCATGAGTGACTGTGCGTAAGGCATCCCAGTCCAGAAAGGGATGCCTGGTAAATCAGGCGAACCTGATAAAAAGCTCCCCTGGCCACAGCCGTCATACGATCTTCTAAAGACAGCAGCGCATCCAGGAGAACACCCAAGTTGCGAGCCCTCTCTGAGGGGGCCAAGATCTCGCCCCCAATAGTCAGCGATGGAGCCAACTGGCTATACTGGGAGGCCGGAAACCACAGCCACTCGGTCTTGGAAGGGTTGAGTCTGAGCCTGTTTCTCCCCATCCAGATCCGCATGGCCTCCAGGCACCGGGACATCACATCAAGGGCATCATTGGGGTGGTCCGGGGTGGAGATGTACAGCTGAGTATCATCAGCATACAGATGAAACTTCACCCCAAAACCACGGATGATCTCACCCAGCGGCTTCACATAAATGTTGAACAGAAGGGACGAGAGGACCGACCCTTGCAGCACCCCACAAACAAGGTGCTTCGAGGTCGACCTCTGTCCCCCTGCCAACACAAACTGCGTACGGTCAGAGAGGAAGGAGGAGAACCACCACAACATGGTGCCCCCCACTCCCAACCCCTCCAATCGACGCAGCATGATACCATGTCGATGGTATCAAAAGCCCCTGAGAGGTCTAACAGGACCACGACAGAAGAACAACCCCTGTCCCAAGCCCTCCAGAGATCATCAACCAATGCGACCAATGCCGTTTCCATGCTGTACCCCGGCCTGAAGCCCGACTGGAACGGATCGAGATAGACAGCTTCATCCAGGTACTGGGGAAGTTGTCGCGCCACCATACTCTCAACAACCTTCGCAACGAAGCGAAGGTTGGAGACTGGACGATAGTTTGCTAATACAGTCGGGTCCAGGGAAGGCTTCTTGAGGAGGGGCCTCACCACCGCCTCCTTCAGGGAGGGAGGGAAGAAACCCTCACTCAAAGAAGCGTTAATAATCCCCTGGAGCCAGCCTCGTGTGACCGCCTGAGAGGCCAGCACCAACCAGGAGGGACACGGGTCCAATAAACATGTGGCAGCGCTAAGCCTACCCAGAATCCTGTCCACGTCCTTGGGAATCACAAGATCAAACCCCTCCCAGATAACACTCTCAAGACCCACCTGATGTCAGCTTCCAAGCTGCCATCAGGACGGTGTCAGGTTTCGCTGCTATCTTAAATAAACTTCATTCTCAAACGCAAGTTCTCTAATGAATCTTTTTTTAAATTTAAGAATAGAAAGAACGACATCCCTGAACTCTTTGTGCAGCCAAAACTGGCACCTCCTTCCAAACCCCTCCCTTTCCGTTCTTCAACCCCAATGTCTCATTGGCCATCGTGCAGATCCATCTCTTCGTCCCAAGCACTTTCTTTTCACAGGAATTCCCCCCTCCCTCTATCACCCAGGTAACGCTATCTACTAAAGAGCAGGAAACTAGGTAAAAGTTCCATCTCAGCATTAAAGCAAAGCTTCTCCCTCTCTCATTCATGTAACGCTGGAGGAGATCATAATTTGGAACGCTGACATCCGGCCCCTTTCCCTTCACTTCTCCGACGTAACCTGCCCCATAGGAAAAAAAACACAACAAGATAAGTATCATTATCCCCTCCTTGGCTGCGAATCCCCCCTCCCGGCTTGCCCGGGTGGTCTGCATGGAATTTTGCTATAAGGCGGTCAGCTTGGATATTTAAGCTCTTCACCCAGGAAGCCTCTGACAACGGGTAGCCCTTCCATTTAATTAAGTACTAGAGGCGCCCCCTGTGCCATCTTGAGTCAAGAATTTGCTGCACTTCGTAGTGAGTTTGGCCCCCAACAACCAGGGGCCCAGGGGGTTCACATGGCATCGGCCTTAAAGTAGACCCCACTACAGGTTTCAGACGGCTACTGTGAAAAACGGGGTGAATCTTCCCCAAGAGTCATGGCAATTGCAGTTGTACTGTAACGGGGTTGATTATTTTTACTATAGGAAACGGTCCTATAAATTTCGGGCCTAA